TTTTTTACAAAATAAAAATAAAAATAATTTTAAATAAGATAGAAAAATTGAAATTTAAAATAAGATATGAATTTATTAAAATTTATAAGTATAAAATATATTTAATATGAATATTTTTTTAATAAAAATAAATAAAAACCGAGTCATGCGGTTCAACTAGTGACCCACCGGTTCAACCTTTGACCCACTGACCCAGTACCTTAACCGGTTCGATGACCGGTCCGGTTTTTAAAACTATGATTTCAATGACATTAAAATATAAACTTAAAATTATTTGTAATATAATTTTTTTAATTTCTTAAAAATTTTATAAATATCCATGGATATCCGTGGGTATTCAAGAAATTCATGGATACCTGCTTAATGGATACCCGCACGGATATGGGGTGGGTATGAGGCCAATTTTCATTTAGCGGGGCGGGGGCGGGTTTACTATTACCCGCCCCCATGGGGCCCCATTGCCATCCCTAGATATGTGACTTTTACGTTAACTTTTACAATGATTTACAATATCTTTTCATACCAGAAAATTTATGATTAAATAATAATATAAAAAAATCATATATATGGTTATTACGTTTCAATTAAATTCATTTTTTATATTTCAAAAATACAATTCCTAAAATTTGTCTATCACAATTGAAAATTTATTTTTATAAAACTTGACTTTTAAATTTGAAGCACCTTTTAATTTTTTTTACAGAAATAAGCAATTGGGTACCCACCTTACAACAAAACTATATATCCCTATGCCAACCCTAAAGGCATCACGCACTCTTACTAAAAAGTTTTTCAGAAATCAGGTAAAGCTAGAAGTGGAGCAAGAGTGAGTTTATCCTTTAAAGTTAGGAAGGTTTTTTCTTGTTTTTCTCCCCATTGCAACTCAACATTTTTCTTAACCAAATCATTTAATGGGGAGGCAAGTTTAGAGAAGTTAGGTATAAATCTTCTATAGAAGCTTGCCAATCCATGGAAGCTCCTAACATCTCCAACACTTTGAGGTGTGGGCCATTCTTGGATGGTCTTGATTTTCTCGGGGTCCAGATGATTGAATCTCATTTTTGCTTACTATAAAACCTAAAAAATACTACACTATCTACACAAAAAGTACATTTTTCTAGGTTTCCAAACAAATGATTTTCCCTAAGAATTGAAAAGACTTGCCTTAAGTGTCCTATGTGATCACTTGGGCTACTACTATACACAAGAATATCATCAAAATATACTACTACAAATCTACCTATATAATCCCTTAGGACATGATTCATGAGACACATAAAAGTTCTAAGAGCATTGGCATGCCCAAATGGCATAACCAACAATTCATATAGCCCAAACTTGGTCTTGAAAGCGGTTTTCCATTCATCTCCTTTAATTCTAATTTGATTGTAACCACTCTTAAGATCAACCTAAGAAAATATTATGTCTCCATGAAGCTCATCTAGCATGTCATCAAGCCTAGGGATAGGATGATTATATTTCACAGTGATGTTGTTGATGACCCTATTATCACAACACATTCTCCACTTGCTATCCTTTTTAGGAACTAACAACACTGAAATAGCACAAGGACTTAGACTCTTACGAATCTAGCCCTTCTCCAATAAATCTTGGACTTGAGACTCTATCTCTTTAGTCTCTTGGGGGTTAGTTCTATAAGTTGGCTTATTGGGTAGGCTAGCTCCCGAAACTAAATCAATTTGATGTTCTATCTCTCTAAGAGGTGGAAGGCCAAGAAGTCCTTCATGAGGAAATAGATTATCAAATTCCTCTAAAAGATCTTTCACCCCATTTGGAAGAGTCTCACTTCCTAGAAATGTGGTAGTGCGAGTAAGAGTTCGTCTACAAAGAAGGATATAAGAGAGTTGTTTCAAGAGAAGTTGTTTAAGCATGTTTTGAGGTAAAGATTTCTCTTGAGAAAAAACCTTTAGGGAGGGGACTCCAGTCTCCCTAGATATCTCCTTATCCTCGTGTTTCAAGGATTTTTTTCTCTTTCTCGTTTTTTTTTCTTGTTTTTTCTCCTCCTCTCTTTTAAGTTTCATTTGTACTTGATCCTCAATCACTTGAAGAGGTGAAAAAGGATGAAGTACAAACTTATTTTCCTTATGAGTGAAGGTGATTTCATTAGTAAGACCATTATGCATAGTTTTCTTATCAAATTTCCATGGTCTTTGTAAAAAAATATGACAAGCTTCCATTGGTACTATATTACATAAAACTTTATCTTCATACTTCCCAATGGAAAACTTGACCTCCACTTGTTAGTCAACTACTATGTCCCCATCTTCATTTAGCCAATGTAATTGATAAGGTTTGGGATGTGGCATAGTAGTTTGACACAACTTCTAAACCAACCTAGTGCTACAACAATTGCACCATGAACCACTATCTACAATGAGAGAACATGTTTTTTTTAAACATTGCATCTAGTATGAAAAATGTTCTCTCTTTGAGATAGAGTCTCACTAGGTTGATTATTAAGGAGACTCTTAATCATTAGAAGAACTCCTTCATAAGGATAAGCCTCCTTTTCAATTGTTTCTTCCTCACTCTCACTTGAAAAAGAGGTGGTAGTCTCTTCTTGACTACTATAAGTGTCATGTGCCCTTAAGATCATCATTTTCTTGGTGGGGCATTGAGAGACAATGTGGCCTTTTCCTAGACACTTGAAACACTTAATCTCATTAGTCCTAATGCTAGTGTGTGTGGAGTGAACTTTCCTTTTCTCTTATCTATAGCTAGTTCTTTAGAGGGTTCTATAGCATTTTTCTTCTCAAAAGATTTGCCCTTCGTCTTGTAGCCCTTCTTATAAAATGTAGACTGGAGTTTTCTTTCTTAAAAGAAGATTTTCGTAATAATTGTTGTTCTACCTTAACATAAAGTTGGACCAAGTTATTTAGGTCCCTGTAAGGTAGTAGCTCCACTTTATCTCCAATCTCTAAGATAAGACCACTAAGGAATCTAGCTATGGTGGTTTCCTCTTCCTCTCTTATGCATGCCCCCATCATGTAAAGCTCCATTTTTTGTCTATATTGTTCAACACTTATGCTATTTTGTTGGTGCCTTTGGAGCTTATTCATAAGCTTTCTTCCATAATAAGAGGGAATGTGTCTCCTCCTCAGTGCACTCCTTAGATCATTCCAGTAATGGATAGGAGGGTC